TTGCATTCGCCACCCTCAGAGACCATCCCACCCTGTGGTTTGCGACACACCTCTCATGTGACATATGGTTGTCTTGTTGTTGCTTTATTGCTCTCAGACTGAGGCTACTGCCTCTGACATTTCTAGGATTTAGTTGTTCTGCTTTTGTTGTTCTTAAGACTTATACACTAGTCAGTTGTTTCCAGACTGAGGCTACTGCCTCCAACATTTTAGAATCTAGTTGTCCTTACTTTCTGCTTTCCTAGGACATGTATCCTAGTTAGTTGCTTCTGCTTTCACTTAGGCTGTTAGCTGTGACATTGTTATTCTTGTGATATTTTCTATCCTAGGTTGCATCGCATAGACTCAGTATGGAGCTTGCTCCACATCCTAAGCTACTCGGGTTTTCTTTTTCTTTGGTAGAGTTCCGCTTCTTGGCGGAAGCATGCTTGTATCTAGGTGATCCATCACAGGTCGAGGATCGTGTAGCGGACCTCTGGCTGGTCTGTGAGACCAGCCCCTTGGCCTGTTCTCAGATGCCTGTGTTGTATTCGGGGTAGTCCATTGACAGTCCAGGTCAGTACCTCTGTCAGTACCAACCAGTCCGTTCCAGTCCAGTCAGCCGTTGGGGTATACCCCAGTTGTTGTCTGGTTTTTAGATCATTCTTTATTGGCACATTTTGGAGTACGTGCGTTGGAGTCCAGCGTGGGAAATGTGTTGTGCCATCTCGCTCCCCTTTCATCCTCCATTTCCATCTCTATCCCAGGTGGAGCACCACACCTGGTGAGTCTGCCACACTGAGGGCGTACTGATACAACAACTTTGGGGCAGGTATCTCCCTTATATCACGTGTAGAAGGGTGTTCATTTTTATTTTTATTTTTTTGTAGTTGTGAGTACATCGTATTTTTTAAGTTTGGCTGTGCTTTTTTCTTTTTTTTTTCAAAGGAGTACCAGAAAAGAAACACAACGGACCCTAGGCTCGATAAAATTCAGTGCGCAGTGAAAATCAAGGTCGGCAAAAATAGACTCGGAGGTAGTGGTGGTTAATCTTTATCTTCAACAACAAAGAATATCGGGGAGTATGAAATTGAAACTATATATACTAGATTAGTACAGCCTATGCGCAAGGAGCAATGAAAATAAAAAGCTTTCTGGAGTTGGATTCGTAATATTCCCTTGTTTTTGCATGTTATATGTCTTTATCATTCGTGAGGGAGGTCGAGGGGAGATTACATGAGAAGATGTAGTTGTAGCAAGGGAGGGGAACAACACCCTTCCCCTCCTGCACCCCTTCGGCCCCTTTAAACCATCAAAACCTTTCCCATATGTCGGCCAAGGGCACTGCTATCAGACTCGAAAATCAAGAGTGGCCACCGATTCAATTTATCATCGGTCGTTTCATACCAGTGCGTTACCCGGCCTGCCTCCGAAAAAATAGTTAGAAAACTTGTAGTTTAACTAACCGATATATGTTTTATTGATCTTTTTGTATATATATATATATATATTATATAAGTGATATATATCGTCAAATAGAACTGCCCGGTAAACCGTAGGCAGAGAGGGAGAAGAGGACAACAAACGAGGGGATGTGACAAACTGTTTCGTCGGAGTTTCACCAACTCATCAGGAGGCTGAACCCTCAATAGTCTGTAGAATCCCCTCACTGATTACACTGTAAGTGATAATCCACCTTAACCAAAATCAAAGTAGACTATCACTCACCCACACCAGATGAAAAACTCTACAGACTGTCGGTTCACACCCCATCACAAGCCAGCAAAACACCCACGAAACAAAGAAAGGTCTGTCACAGCCAAAAAATACACTCCAGACACGCCGCTGGCACTAGAGGCACAACATGGCCGCGTAGTGACGGCCCCGACCACTGCCGCTCGACCTGACCGGAAAAAACCGTAGCAGGAAGCTAGTGAAGTATATATTATATTATTATGTTAATTTATGTATATATATACATATATATTCCTTTCAGTTTTGAAAAAAATGGAATGGCGGTGGCTTCACACCTTAGTCGTAAAAACAAAATAAACACACACAGGCGGGTACGATTCGAAGCAGTGCAAAAAGATCAAAGCAGCCATACGAGGATGTAACATGTCCATTTTTTTGAAAAAACTTGTCGTATTGATCCATTTTCATAAATGATTATCAAACTTCGCATACATTTTATTGTATGGGTTATTACAACCTTTAGCAGATGGTTCAAAATTAATGATAAAAAAACCTATTATAGCAAGCAGTGGTAATTTATTAATTTTTAAAATAATGACCCAAGTCATTATATTTATGTTAACTTTAGTTGATTGGGCAGTAATACATTTTGATTATAGTATACAACTGTTAGATTAAAATGTCGATTTTCAGATGTCTAACTAGGCTACCAGAGTGGCCCGGGTCCACTTGCCCGGTCGGGCAAAAAATATATAAGAAAATAAACAAATAAGAATAATTTTTTAATTAAATTTTTTATTTTAAATTTGGTAAAGAATTTCGATGTGACCCTGAAGCAAAAGTTGTTCAATTTATTTTTCTGCATAACATAATATTTTTTCATATTTTTTCTAGGCTACCAGAGTGACCCGGGTGCACTTGTCCGGTCGGGCCAAAATGAAATAAAAAAATAAAAAAATATATGTTTTTTTAAATGTTTAACTTAAATTTGGTAAATAATTTCGATGTGACCCTCAGACAAAAGTTGTTCAGTTTATGTTTTTGCATAATATAGTTTTTTTCGAATTTTTTGGTTTTCTTCTTTTTTTGTTTTTTTGGCTGGGACCTTTCCTGGTCCGAGTCCTTGTACGGTCGGGCTGCATGGGAAAATAGGGTGACCCGGCCGGCTCGGTTAGTAGCCTAGGATTTTTTGGATTTAATTTTTTTTTTTTTTTTGGATGGGACCTTCCTTTGTCATTGCATGGTCGGGCCGCCCAGAAAATAGGGTGACCCGGGCGGCCCGGTTGGTAGCCTAGATGTCTAAAATATTATAACAACAGGTTAGTGTAGGAATTTCAATTCTGCTTTTATAGAAGCATTATGATCTGAATGGTTTTTATGAAGATTTTATTGGTTGTAGTATAAATACTATATCAATTCGTAAAAATGCTAGGCTATCAGCCCGTGCAAGGACCAAGGAAAGTCCCAAAAAAAAAAAAAAAAAAAAAAAAAATCTGGAAAAAAACTATGTTATGAACTTTTGCCTCAGGGTCACATCGTGAGGGACGCCGGGCCCGTTTCCCGGTTTTTGACGAGAAAAAGTTGTTTGAAGTGAAAAAAAAAAAAAAAAAAATCTTCACCAAATTTAAAATAAAAATTAAAATTTAAAAATAGATTAAAACAATTCTTTTATTTTTATTATTATTATTTTTTTTGGCCCGGTGGGGCAAGTGACTCCGGACCACTCTTGTAGCCTAGTAAAAATGTTAATATATACATATATTTTGAGAGATATATATAGATGTACGTGTGTTAATATATCATAAGACTCAATAAAAAGTTATAACATTTTTTTTTAATTAATTATTTTTTACCTAGGCTACCACAGTGGCCCGGTCCGCTTGCCCGACCGGGCAAAAAAAGAAAAGGAAAAAAAGTTATTTTTTTAATTAAATTTTTATTTTAAATTTGGTAAAGAATTTTGATGTGATGCTCGTGAATAAAGCACCAACCGGGACCCCACACACACTCTCTCTTCGAGTTGTGTATAGCGAACATGACAAAACATACATACAGCATGATCACTACCTTACCCTTCCCGAACCACATCAACAAATGAACTACGGGCTGCGCACCCGTGCCCTCACGGTAAGTCAATCAGTCCTCCGCAAGAATGCAAAGGGTGACCTTGCTGTCTGTCCTCCACAAGAATGCGAAGGGTCACCGCACACCCCGCAGCAAAAAAAATGAACTACCCTGACACATGCAGCAACCCAGTAGCAACCCACTATACCACAGCCTTAGGGCTACGAATTCAGCAGGACTCGGACCATGCGCTGTTCACTATAGCACTGTTTACGATTCACCCACATGCGCTGACCGATATCCCCTTTGGAGCGCACTTCTGTCGTTTCGGCCCCATGGGCTGTTCACTATAGCAGTCATCTGTTTACCATTCACATGCGCTGAGCAATATCCCCTTTCGAGCGCACGCTACTATTGGTGGACTTCTGTCGTCACACTCGGACTTTCTCGCCGGTTCAGTCTGAACACTTGCGAGTGATCACAAACATCATCGAGAGACAGCGCAACTTTGAGGGCATAGTCACAATAGGACCTCTTTGACTCGTCCCTGGAGTTGAAATTTCGGTCAAAGGCATGCACGAAGCCGCATTCTCGGTCAGATACGTCCAGGAAAGTCCTTGTGTGAGTATGGTCTTACTGCGGTTCGACTGGTCCGGGCAAAATCCGTGTATGAATATGCCCTTAGAGGCCGCCTGTTCTGTTCCAACGAACAGACGTATGTCAAAACCCGTGCCTGCAAAAAAAGAAAAAAAAAAAACCGTGCCATGAGTGGTGGCGGAGTTGGAGTGGGCGGTGTAAAAAAGCAAGAGGTCAGAAAATTCCTGCCGCTTGAGGAGCGGTTTGCATTTCGAATTTTCGGCGAAGGAATGGCTCGACGCGAGGTCTTCCATGTGCCCACGAACCTGCACATGCCTACAGGATGCAGCGATTCCAGTTGATGAAGGTGTATAAATCATCGTTGGTCATTCCGTCGCTCGGGCCATCCGTTAAAATTGGAACGAAACAGAGAAGATTAGCATGGCTCCTGCGCAAGGATGACACGCAGTTCCCAACGCCAACATCGTTGGTCGTTCCCAACGCCCACGTGGTGTGACAAAGCAGTTCCCCCCAATAGTGTGCGAGGGAGCCCACGTGTTGGCGAAAGCGTTATGGTTCGCGATGCTGCAGTCGATCGATTCCTCTTGGGTTTATGAGACGATGACGATCGGTGGCTCAGATCCGTATCGTACGTGAGAGGCGGGCCTCTGGAGAACTGGTTACGCCAAAGCCTCTCTGAACCGCCATAGCCTTTCTGAAAGCCTTTCTTTCTGAACCGCCATAGCCGTACGAGATCGGCCGCCATAGCCGTACGAGATTGGCCGTCATAGCCTTTCTGAACCGGCGAAAGATAAAGAGAAAAGAAACCAGATCTGGGAGAGTATAGGAGCGAAAGCGCGCCGAGCGCTGCACTCCGAGTACATAGAGAGGGTTGTTGGTATATTGATTGACGTGATGACGTCACGACAAAGTGTGTTATGCTGTGCTGGGGGTGAAAGAGAGAGGTGCTTGATTGTATGGCGATAATGACGAGGTAGCTACAGAGAGAAGGAGCGCGGGGAGGAGGGTTTCGCTTCCGAGAGCGGACGATCTCGATTCATTTTTCGGCAATGCCGAGAAAAGTGTCAAAGCAGAAACGGGCTTTGCCGCCGAGATCGGCGGCAAAACGTTTGGCGCCAAATGCAGGTCGATACCGTAAGACCCCGCGCGCCGCCGCCGCCGATGGCGATGGCAGCGGCGGCTCTCGCGGAAGAAGTCGAAGATATCGCGTCCTTCCATCGAGTAAAGCGAAAATCGTTCCATCGAACGTAGTCCGGCCGGCGACCAGGAAAAAGCCGGCGGAGGTGGGCTATGGCCAGAAACAGCGGTGCGTCGTTGTGGTCGATCTGGTCGATTTCGACGATGAGGAGATAGTCGAAGCTTCCGGCGATGGCGATCGCAAAGGTGGACCGGTCGTCAGTGACAGATCCCTTGACGCAAAGTCGGCACCATCGCGGTCGAATGGCAGGCGATTCAGAAAGAGAAAGGCAGTAGCCATCTTGGACGACGGGGACACGGAGGAGGAGGAGGAGGGTGAGAGAATGGAGGAGAAACTGCGTGAGAGGGGGGAGGAGAAACAACAAGGGGAGAGAATAGAGGAAAAAGAGGGTAAAAAAAGAATCGAGGGAGAACAGGGGGAGAGAAGGGAGGAGAAGCGGGGTGAGCGAGTGGAGGAGAAACAAGGTGACAGGATGGACGAAGCCGCGAAAGATTCATCAGCCGCTGTTGAAGACGAGAATGAGCAGGGGGAGGAGGAGGAGGAGGAGGAGAAGGAGAAGGAGGAGGTTCGACGCGGCACAAGTCTGAAAGGAAAGCAGCGCAGAAAACTGCCTCTTTGCCGGTCGAAGACTGTCGTTTCCTTAGATGACGACGACGGCTGTGTCCTGATCATTGAAAAGCGAGCTTCGGTGGCAACGTCGGGAGATGGAGGGGAGGAGGCCAAGGTGGTAGGAGAAGTAGGGATTGCACATTCTTCCGAGACGAAAAAGAAGGCGAAACACGTGGCAGAAGGAGAGGCTATCCTCCGAGCAGGAGCGGGATCAGCCGTCGATCCGAAGCGCAGGGATTCTGCCGGCAACATCATCAAGTCCCCTCCTCCTCCTCCCTCGCCGAATGGTCGAAGGGCGGCGGATATGGCAGGAGGCGATGACGACAAGTTGGGGGTTGATGCTACGGCCCGCCAAAAGTCAGTCGCTACCGAGGGCAATCACCTACCTTCTTCTTCTGACCGCGATCCCTTCCCACTGTCAGGAACTGAAGGAAAAAAAGTCAACGCTAAAGATGACCGAGAAGATTGGAGTGATCGTCGAACAGAAACAGGCAGTCCTCGAATCCTACGGTCAGGAACGAAAGTCAAGATCACCGCTACGGATGAGCGAGGGGATGGTGGCGGCGATGGTGGTGGAATGGAAGCGGGAAGGCAAAGAAGTAATCATCATGGTGATGGCGACGCAAAGGCAGATTGCCACGGAGCTCCTGAGGGATCATCGCCAGTCATGGCGGCGACGAATAGCTGTCCCCGAAAGGGAAAGCAGAAGGCGCTGGCGCGGAGGCCAACGACTTTATCATCGAGTCTTCCAGGAAATCGTGATCGGGGGAACGAATCTGTTGAGGCTTCCGCCTCACATCTCGAGACGGTCGACTTGTCTTCATCGTACGATGAGAAGGATCGAGACGACGGGGCAGCTCAAACAGACAGGGATGGTGGTGGGGGGAACGGGCGCGTCGAAGGCTGCTTGGGTCCATCAAGGCGGCGAGGAAAAGAGGAATGTAACGACCACCGTGAGGAAAACGAAGACCATGACAAGAAGGGCGATGGCGAGCGGCAAGGAATGACAGAGGAGGAGAGGGAGGCGGGGGAGGGAGAGGAGGGACTTGGGAAGAAGAGGAGGGAAAGGGGGAAAGAGGAGGGCCAGCATCAGCGTCTCGCTAGTAGTAGCGGCTATTCCAAGGTGCGCAAAAGCAATATCCAGATCGATCTTGGTGAAGTTGACAGTGAACAGGAGAAGGAGGTCGACGAGGATTCCGACGAAGATTCCGACGAGGATTCCGACGAGGATTCCGACGAGGATTCCGACGAGGATTCCGAGGAGGATTCCGATGCCGTTCCTTCGTCACGCAGCACGCGAAAGACGAGAAGTGCCGCTGCTGCTGCCGAGGCTGCTGCCGCTGCTGCTGCTGCTGCGGTCAAGCGGAGCAATCCGCCTGCAAAGGGGAAGGGGAAGGGTGCAGCAGGACGGGGACGGCATGAACCGACAGGTGGAAAGATGACTAGAAAGGCCATGGGAAGCCAAAGGATTTTCAAAGGGGGATACGAGAGTGTCTCGGAGGACTCGGGGAGCGAAAGCGATAGCGACTTTATTGTTGATAGTGAAGATGATGATGATGATGATGATGATGATGATGATGATGATGAAAAAGTAGTAAAAGAAGTAGAAGATGATGAGGAAGAAGAAGAAGAAGGAGAAGAAGAAGAAGAAGAAGAAGAAGAGGACGAGGGAGCTGAAATCAGTAGTAAAAGCGATGGTGAAGAGGAGACGGAGGAGGAGGAGGAGGAGGAGGGGGAGGAGGAGGAAAAAATGCTAACGAGAAGTGGAAGAAAAAAAGGTGGTGGTAAGCAGTTGTTGAAAAAGATGAGAGATGTCGGTTCCCGTAGGAGGGATCGGGATTTAAAGGGGGAAAAGACAGGGACAGGGGGAGGAAGACGAGAACGGCGGGGAGATGTGAAAAAGGGGTGTTTAAGGGTAGCGGGGAGCCAAAGGTTGTTCAAAGGTGGATATGAGAAAGTTTCAGACGAGTCAGGAGGCGATAGCCTGAGCGACTTCCTAGTGAACAGTGAGGAAGTGGAAGAGCACGAGGGGCAGGAGCCAGAAAGAAGCCGGAAAAGGCGCTATGATAATGTGTCGAAGGATCCGGAGACCCTTTACGAGGAGGAAGAAGAAAAGCAATTAGAGAAGGCGCGGAGAAGACGAGCACGACACGGTAAGACCTCTGCAGCAGCGATGGTTGCGCACCACCAGGAGAGGCGGCAGAGAGAGGAAAGGAGGTATCCCGGAAGAAGGAATAAGCGGAGCAAAGCGCAGGAAGGAGATGACGACTGCACGGGGGACGAAGAGAGCGTAGCAAAGGACACGTGGCATTTCTTCGCTTCTGCTCTGCAACGTCGAAACGCAAGGAGGCAGCCTCTGAAACAGAGAAAGGCGGGGGGCGATGGGGTAAGCAGGGGCGCTGCTGCTGCTGCTGCTGCTTCTGCTTCTCCTTCTGCTTGCCGTTCGCCCGGCTCGGGCAGAGAAGGCAGGAGGCGATCGATGGAATGGGCGCAGGTACCAAAACCCGCCGCAGCGAGTGGCGATCACGTTGCCTCTAGGGATTGGGACCACGATCTCGATGAGAGTGCCGACGGCGGCGGCGAAGCTCCCTCTTCCCCGCTTGGTTTGGGGGATGGGGGGAAGCGCGCCCGTCGCGAAGTGCGGGTCGACAACGACGGTTGGGGTAGGGGAAAGGGGACAGAGACGTTGGGCGAGCTGACGGGGGAAGAGAAAACGGACAGGAAACAGCGAGAAGAAAAAAAACAAAAAGAAAAAGACGAGGAAAAAGAAGAAGAAGAAGAAGAAGAAGAAGGTCATCTCCACGTGGAGGATAATGGCGATGGCGATGGCGAGAGTGGTCGAAAGGGGTCGCCATCTCCACAGCAACGTGGTTCGAGAGGGGGGGAAAGGAAATGGAGGGGCAGAAAAGCGATCGTTGTTAGCGACAGCGAGCAGGAGGATGAAAGACAGATGCAGCGGAAAGAGGCGGAGGGCGCCGAGGGAGAAGAGGAGGGGGTGGGGGAGAAGGAGAAGGGAAGGGAGAGAGAGAGAAACTCACCTCGGGATTCGCCGCCAAAAGCCAGCGCTGCAGAATGCGATAACGACGGGAAGGGAGGGCGGCGGCACCGGCAGTCTTCCAAGCCGGAGAAGAGGAAATTGTCATCATCAGTGGAGGAAATGGAGTCGTTGGCACGGCCAGGGAACGAGAAGAAGAGGTCGATGAAGAGGTTGAAGAAGAAGGAAGAAGAAGAAGAAGACGAAGACGAAGAAGAAGAAGAAGAAGAAGAAGAAGAGAAAGATGGAGGCACAGGGTCGAGGGTGGGAGCGGCAGCAATGGTAAAAAGGAAAGGCAAAGGAAGAAAGAAGGAGACTAAGCAGCAGCAGCACCACGTAGGCACGCAGCAAGCCAATCCAGTTATGGCGGCTAAGGCTGGTGATCGCCAGCCGGACACTCTGTTGGAAAGATTGAAGCGCAATCGAGAGAAGCATCTTGGCCTCCTTCCTTCAGAGACGGTTGAGGAGGAGGAGGATAAGGAGGAGGAGGAGGAGGAAGATGAGGAGCGTAGTAGTTGTGCATTGGATGGAGAGGTGGGCGGTCGAGGGAAGTGGCGTTCCACCATTGCTGACTCCGTCTCCGATTCCGACCCTGAGTCACTGAGTGGATTTATCGTCTATGGTGATGAAGATGACGATGGCGATGGCGATGACAAGAGCAAACGAAGAAAGAAGCGTGACTCTTACAAAGAGGAGAAATTCATCGCGGTATCGGGTGATGATGAGGTGAAGGAGACCGATCGAACGAATAGCGGTGGAATTCCATTTATTGTATTCAAGGTGTATTTGCAGTACTTGCTTCATTGCCTGCTAACACCAGATTTCTGCACCCAGGTTCGTAATTACGTAAGCAATGCAGSGGKGSRGGGGGGGGGGGGGGGGGGGGGGGGGGGGGAAAAATTTTTTTTTTTTTTTCCCCCCCCCCCCCCCCCCCYCCCGGTTCTTCCAGCTCGTTGTTCGATTTGTTTTACGACTCGGTTTTCGGTTTTCGGTTTTATTTTTTGGCGGGGTTGGTTGGTTGGTTAACGAATGACAATCTGTTGATCTTTGATCGCTCTTCGGTCGATCGCCCTCGACCGATCAATCTGTTTTGTGGAACTAACTGATGCGTGTAAAGGAAAAGGCCTACACCCCGTGTGTGTGGTGTCTCCTCCTACTCAAGTCATGTTATTGACTCGTAAAAGTCGTAGATCTGTTTTGTTCTGTGACTTCGCTCGATCGCGCTCAATCTATCTTGCCGGTTTCGCTCGCTCGCTTGCTCGATTGCTCGATTGATCGCTCTCCATCGGTCATTATGGCTGCATCTAGACTGAAAGTCGCACCAAGGGCGTTCTGTTCCGGTGAAGACGGTTGATGGCACTGAAATCTCTCGATCGATCTCGCGGTGTGGTTCACGCTCGATCGTGCTCGATCGTGGTCGTCTCAATCACTCGTTCGCGCGGCCAACTTCTCGCTCGATGTTCGCGATGATCGCATGACTACCGGCTTCGCCCGAACATAACGCACCCCAAAAATGAATGTATACAAGCTATATTTCCGGCCAGATACGGCCAAAATGAGGGTGCGTTGTGCTCGGGGGAAGGCGGTACCCTTCTTCACCTGAATAGAACGCCCGGTCATTATGTCTGCACCTGGACTGACAGTTGCCCCAAATATGGTTTTAATGATCGGGCGTTCTATTCGGGTGAAGACAGGTAGCTTTGCTGGCTTCCGTCTCCTTCGACTTCAGCCGCTCTGGCCGATGTCTTTGGCTTGCTGCCGCTCAGAAAAGATCTCTCGATCTCTCTCGATCTCTCTTTATTGTTGACATCTCTTGATCTCGCAGATGTGGCTGACTTCAGATTTCTCGATCTTGGCCATCTCCTTCTCTCGATTGCTCTCCACCTCTCTCACTCGTTGCTCGGTTCCATTGAGCTCTTTATTCTGTAGAACTTGATTGTTCTTTCTCGCCCTCAGGTCGCCAGCTCGATTCCTCTTCATCTCATACCTCATACTGACATATACATCCGCGTGATCCCGCTCGACCTCGGTATGAGATCATCCGGTCCACCCTACTCGAATTCACTCTCTCTCCCATCGATTGATGCCGTTCGATTGCGCTTGATGCCCTTCGATAGCGCTTGATGTTCTGCGATAGCGCTTGATGCCCTTCGATTGCGCTTGATGCCCTTCGATAGCGCTTGATGGATGCCCTTCGATAGCGCTTGATGGATGCCCGTCGATTGCGCTTGATCTTGGCTATCTCGCTTGCCCGTTCACGGCCGATGAACCTCTTTTTTTTCTTTTTTTTGACGGCCGATGAATCTCACTTTGGGATCGCCCGAGCTCTCCAGCTCACTAAGCTGGCTCGATCTCTCGCCGATTGGGCTTGGTTGGGAAGGGAGGGAGGGACCTCGCTCCCAAAATCAGCCGGACCAGGATGCGTTCCGCCCCCTCCCCCCCCCCACCCTCTTTTGGATCGATTTAGCCTCTGGAAGGCAGTCAGGCTCCTTCCTACCGTCTTCAGCGAACGTAATGCACCCTCGTCATGACTGTATCGGGTCGGAAACATAGTGTGTATACCAGCATGACCAGCGTGCGTTGTGTTCGCGGGAAGACGATAGCCTGGTATGCACTTGCCGCGTCCCGCTGTAGCCCTCTGAAGTGAATGGGCCATTTCGAACGAGAGATGTAGTAAATGCAAAAAAACAGACAAGAAACAGCAAAACACATTGTCAGTAGGATCCGACAAAATCAAGACGGAAAACAGAACAAGCTCTGTGCTTCGTGTTTTTTTTGGTTTTTTGTGCCATTCCCTGTCGTCATTAATATTGTGTGTGTATGCGTGTATGTGTGTGATTGTGTATGTGTATGTGTGTGTGTGTGTGTGTGTGTGTGTGTGTGTGTGTGTGTGTGAGAGAGAGAGAGAGAGAGAGAGAGAGAGAGAGGAGGGCCCACCTTGCTATTCGTCATACGTGATATTGTGTGTGTATGCGTGTATGTGTGTATGTGTGTGTATGTGTGTGT